AACAATCTCTGTTACTTACACAGCTCATTCCGAGACATCGACACTCAAATCCGTCATTTGCAAAACCACACGAGTCCACAAAACTCACTTTCGAGGGGGAGGGACAGAATGCTTTCTGAAATCTTTTGCATGTAGAGTTATGAGCTTAAGTTATTTTTTGACTCGTGTAACTGCAGAAATGAGTCGGAACTTTGGCACGCCTGTTGTCCTTGGCGAGATGGATCTACTGCTCATTTCATGTGGTTGTTATAATGAAATTACACGATAATTACCGTTTTCACTAATCTTAAAAGTAATACTAGCGATAAATGTCTATTAGTACAGGGTATACACAAAAGAATGGTACGGTTTCAAAAGTTTAACTTTTGAAACCGCACCATTCTTTTGTGTATTTCCTGTATAATAGTAACCAATCTTATGATGCCAGATGCCACCGCTGCGAGTATGAAGATGACTTCAGAGGTGCTTACTGCCTCCATCATCAGGACGATTATCATCGGTAAATTTCTGTCAAATGATTCGGTGTTGCAATCCAAGAAACAGTCTTCATGTTTCGAATTTGTTTGATTCGGTTGTGAAGGTGGTCACTTTCTGCTATTAGGGTAATCAATTCAAGGCGATTGATATGAACTGGACATTTAGAACGCAGGGGGCGATGAGAAGTGCATAGCAGTTTTTGTCGTAAAACCTAAAGAGAATATATAACTTGCCACACATAGATAAGATTGTAATGATACATGTAGGCAAAGTTAGAAAAATGGCTTTGTGGACCGGACTAAAATAGCTACTGATAAGGTCAAGTGATGAGCCGTAAGAAGTGAGGAATACACGTGATCACGGGTTGAAGTTGATATTTTGTAATTATGTATTTCATGACGTTGTTAATTCGGCGCAGGAAGAAGACTTGGGGCGCAAATGTGAGGTGTGCAACAGTTTTGCGATTCTTCAAATGCTGAGACTTACTTGTCCAACCCTTTAAACGCATCGGACTCAACAGTTGAGATCATATTCTCATAGAGGGTAAGGATCTCCAAAGTGTCCAGTCCCTCGAAGTCCTTGTTGTGGATTGCGGTGATTCTGTTGTGGTTCAGGTTTAATATCAGCAGGTGATGAAGGTTGCGGAACGCGGTGGACGGCACCGAAATCAACCCGTTCTGCGAGAGATCCAACTGGGTCAGCTCTTTGCCTGAAACGAATCCGTAGTTAACTACACGGTTTACCATTCCATATGCAAACCAGCAACATATTTTAAACCAGAAGCAGGCCCAGCCCCGTGACACTCGTATCAAGGTCACCCTGGTTGCTAGGCAGAAGAATTGGATTGTAATTCTCTGATTGTCGCTGCTGATACGTACCCAGGGAGCTGAGTGAAGACACCTCAACCACAGCAAGGCTGCTGTTGTGGATGGTGAGGTGACGGATGTCCAGTCCGAGAAATACAAAGTCCTGCAGTTTGGGCAGGGTATTATGACGGAGTTTCAGGTAGAAGATCACTTCAGAGGAACCTTTGAGTACAGACATCGTGTGACTGATGTGTTGCTGGTCTGTGAACTCGCACAGAACATCAAGGCCGTTCTTCTTGACGGTACAGATGCAGGGAGTAATGTCGTGATGTGGAGGGCACTGGTGATTTTGGGATGCGACGTTCGCCCACCCCCACATCAGACATATCCACCACAGCGCAGCCACCAGCACGCCTCCACCGCCCCCACCTCCTGCTGTAGCCATTCTCACGCCTTCGGTCCGTGTAATTGCCTAGGCCATCAGGGCGTCTGATCCGAGCACCACCTTACTCAGACTGAAACATAAATAATTCTTTGAGCGTTGATTGTGCTTCTTGGGAAGCTGACAGTTGCTACCGACTCACAACATTCCGTCACTGGACCCTGTCCTGAACCGTTTTTATCCAGTTCACATCCTCACATCGTATTCCTTTAAAAATCATTTTTAATATTATCCTCATTATCCTCTCATCGACACCTAGATCTTGAAAAGTGGCCTCTGCATATTTTATACTTAAATGATATATTCGTTTCTCATCTTGCTCAGGGTTGCTACATAGATCTATCTTGCGCTGTCATCTTAAATTAATATTTGGTGAAGCGTACACAATATGTATTTTTCTCTGTTCTCTCGTTATTTCCCCTCACTAAGGTTTAAATATTCTCTTAAGTGCTTAGTTCAGAAACACTTTCAGTCTGAGATGGCTGTCTTCTGTGTTGTAACGCCATGTTGTCTAGTAGATGTTTACCGACGTTTCAGAGGTGGTACTTACCTCATTTATTGGTAAACTTCTATCAGACTACAGGACATAACATCCCAGAAAACAGTAATGTTCATTATCGATATCAATTCTTAATTACCATCCACAGTGATTAGGATTTGTGGATCTCATGAACATTGGACTGAAGCCGGGACATGCATCCATCTTGTCCTTGAAAGGCAGAGTAAGAATAAATTCGAATAGCGATTTTATTATAGTAAATTTGTATCGAAACCTCAGGGGAGGTCATGGCCTGAAAACTGGCCGAAGCACCATAGATGATGATGATTATTATTATAGTAAAAGCCAAACTTAAAACTTTAAATAATGCACAAGATTGGGGATAGTGTATAGTAATAAAAATGTAACATTCAAAGTGTAAGTGTACTTAAATTGAAGATTCATGAAACACAATAAGAGAAACTGAATGGAAGCATACCTGTTCAGTGCTGAAACACTTAACTGTGTATACACTATCGATCCTTGAACAACAGAGATCAAATAACTTCGGCACCTTTATTATAATAAACTGTATTTTCCCCTACAACATCAGTTTCGCTTGTTTTTTCACTGGTTTCAGTATTGAATATTAAATCACCACACGAAAAAGCAATTACTTGTTCTTCATTAACACTACGTACATGTTTAAGCTCCATTTGCACTGATATCACGTCATAGGTTTACATTCTGCGTAGTTTAACCAATTACTACTAACGTGTGTTGGAAATCCTCCAGTAAACGTTCTACTTTGTCCTTAAGAACAACTAAAAGTTCACATTATTGTCCTGTTAACTCTGAGTTGAATGTTATCAGTTTTGACGCAATTGTCATGGGTCGCGAATTGATATTATTGGATCACAACGCAACAACAGAAATCCCAATGGCCGCTCCCGAGATAAGAGTCGACTCTTCTATATTACATATACCGATTTAGTCAGGGTCTGTAGTTAAGTACTTGTATGACGTATGAGTATTCTTCTAATAGAGGGCTTCCTGTAGCCCAATGCATGTAGTGATTATGTATAGATGATGGGAGGGGGGACGAGGGACGGGGAGAATGCTTACAATGACGTCCACACATAGCTAAGTTTACGTTTGGTTGCAGTGTTAAAAAGAATTTCTGTGCAACATTATTTGAAGAAGTGATATTCTAAATATGAAATGTACGATGCTGGCAGACAAGTCTGAAGAACCACATTTTACCTCAAATTGTTGGAAAGTATCGTCATTAATTTTATTTTAATTGATTTAGTGTTTAATGCAAGCTATGAACTGTAGCAGTACGATTTAATACCAGACGCTTCGGGTCGGCGATACACCACGATCGGAAAAAATTAAATTGTTAGTACAGATTTGGCCTAAATTTATCTAGGACTAATTCAGAAGAACACAGAAGGTTTCAAATAACAACTTGAATGGAAGATTATATAATTTATATCTTAATTGCGTCATGTTTGTGTTTTATTGATACAATATTTTTATTTTCCGTCTGTACACAAACTTAAAATAATGTTGTTTAAAATTATTTAAAATTATAACATTCTCAGTAGACACTGCATCTTGTTACATTTTTTGTATCGACGACATGTTTCAATGTGTATTACATCATCATCAGGTCTATCAATTTTAATATATTTTAAAAACTGTTGTACATTTTGCGTTGCGTTTATTTGATTATTTTAATTTGTTTAATTTTAATTTTATTTTGTTTAATTTTAAGTTTTTTGTCTTTTCCTTTTGATTTTGGAGGTTGTACTTGGATGTTTTATATCGGGTTGTAAATGATGTGTTGTGTGTCCGATATTAAGAGACGGTAAACTGCAGAGTTGCAGTTTACCGTCTACTGAGAATGTTATAATTTTAAATAATTTTAAACAACATTATTTTAAGTTTGTGTACAGACGGAAAATAAAAATATTGAATGGAAGAGTTCATTGAGAAACCTAGCTGTACATGGATGGATACTATTTAAATGTAAACAAATATAGTGTGTGGTTTTGGACCGTATGAACTTCGCTCAGGATAGAGTCAATTGTCAGGCTGTTATGAACTCCGTGATGCAGTTTCTGATTATTTTGATGACTGAGAAGTTCGTGGCCTCCTCACCTCGACATTTCTGAGCACCTCAACTTTAACCTTGAAGATGGAGACGGTATGTTTGTCCGAAACGTCCGTATCTACCTCCGAATCTTTTTGGCGCCACACCCCATAAGAACACACTCATCGCCGTTGAGAACCTCAGACCGTTATTTCGTTGATGGCGTGTGTAGTCCACAAACGTAACTGCGTATTGATGGTAGAGCTTTCAGTGCCACTGCCACAAAACAGTAGTTCTATCCAATGAAAGAAGAACAGCTCATATGTGTTGTTTATGATATCATGAAGCAGTCCACATACTGTAGTAGGTCACATTCATACGTCAGAGGAAATTACGTAACTTGTCTCCACAACCTTATGCGTATGTCCATGAGCTGTATCGTTGCTAGGGAATTCAGACATCTTTGTTCGGTCGAGTGTTCGAAACAGGACTTTTTAGAGTAAAGACGTACAATCGTACAGTAATCATTTTGTTATCAGTAAAATATCGTGTTAATTCATTTCCTGATTTGGGTGCTCTGACGGGCATACCCCAAACTTTGATCTTTGTGAATGGCCGGAAATCCTCCGGCGAGGAAT